GTAATTTTGTTAAAATTAAAGGTTAAAATGGGTATAAGAAAGGAATGGGGAGGGTGAAATTGGAAAAAATTGAAAGAAGATTGCATGAGAAATTGCACTGGTGGTTTTTTCGGTTTTGACATCAAACGGTTTTCTTATGTAAATTGAACCGTTTTTATCATCGAATATCGGTTTGACCGGTTCAATCGGTCAGTCTGATCCGGTTTTAAAAACCTTGCCTGGTAGTATAAACAGTTCGGGTGTATTCTTTAAAACGTTTGAAATGCCAAACCATTTAAAATTGACAAGAACTATTGGAACCGTTCAAACCAAAAAATCGTTTGACTGAATGGTTCAATGCTTTAATTACCATTGGAACCGTTCAAACCAAAAAATTGTTTGACTGAATGGAACCGTTCAAACCAAAAAATCGTTTGACTAAATGGTTCAATGCTTTAATTACCATTGGAACCGTTCAAACCAAAAAATTGTTTGCCTGAATGGTTCAATGCTTAAGAATTAAAGCTTAAGAAATTTGTATCAGATATAGCTTGAACTTGCAACCTTGAAGCCTTTGTTTCAATTCTTGGCCACCAGAATGCAATCCCTATGTTAATAGATGCTTGAAATATTATTTATTTAATAGAAATCTCAAAACTTTTAACCAAATTTTGAAGGACAATTATGAGATTCGAACACCCACTCGAGACACAGACTTTTATTTGTAATTTTTTGTTTTATAATATATTTATTTTATTTTAAAACCATAATCATATTAAAGTTTGTTCATAGACTCAAACTTATGATCTTTCTTATAACTAAAAAAGCACCTATCACCACACCCAATGAACACCTAATAAAATATTTTGTATAATAATATATTTATACTATATTGATCAACCGTGAACTGGCAATCAATGATTTAACCTTCGGTTCGAGTTTAAAAATGTTGCCTCCACGTTTCCCCTAGGACGGAGGAAATTCTTATGAAATTTCATGAAAGAAAAATACCTCCATTCTCACCTATGGAAAAGAAATATTTTTGAAAATTTCATCCCTTGATGGGAATATTCGCGAAACTCCACTAGTCACTGGGGAAATCGCCATCACCATGCAGTCCTAATTCCATTAGGAAAAACGCGCTTCAGCTGTGAATTAAATCCTAAACGGTTAAATACCGGTGTTTGCACTGGCCGACCAGCGCCATTTGATATAAGCCCTAAGAAAGAAAGGAGACGTCATAACGTTCTTCCTTTCGCACACACTTGAAAGCTCTCACTTTTCTTCTGCTTCATATTGCACAGCCGGTCTACTGTTCCTCTGATTCTTCAAAGGTTCGTCCCTTCTCTGATTTTCTGTCTGTGGATTTATTCCCAGATTTCACCCATTTTCCTTTATTGCTGTGTGATGTTTGTTTTTGGGGATTTTGATAAATCTATCGTCTCTCTAAGGTAGTCGGATAGCTGGAAATCTGATAAACAATCGCAATGGTCATATGAAATGGAATGGTTTAGGCTGTTACTAATAATAAAATTTTGTGCATTTCCTCCAAATTTTAGTTTTTTTTTTAATATATTTCTAATTGGTTTTTTAATCATTCATGTGCCTGCACTACATCAATCTAACTAGCCTACAAACTGCAAAAAGACAATTTTTAGAAGCTACTTAAATGCATCAATTTCATCTGTAGCATTTGTTTGGATGCTAAATTCTAAATCCTGGGATACTTCATTTTGTAGTGGATAATGGTTATTGATCAACAAGTTTGCTTCTTTATTTCAGAAAGCTGCTGATTAAGATGGAACTTGCCTTTAGATCTTAATTTCATTGGTCATTGCTGGGTATTCTATTCAGTTTAGG